TTTATCTTTGAAATTGAATCATTTTTATCCTCATAGGTAAATATTGTACAATCTTAGTCGCCGATACTAATTGAAATTAAAATCGTTAATCATTTTTTCTATTTTTTTTTAAATCAGTTTTTTTATGATAATTGAAGAAACAATGTTATGAAATACTTCAATGATGGCATGAACATTTATTTTGATGTTTTGTTAAGCAAATTGGGAGGTAATAATAGCAATATAACCATTGCATCGATACGTTGGAAATGGAAAACATTGTGCTCTCGAAATATTTAGATTCTGGACCTGTCATGGGATATTCTATTTCAATTAAACTTTACTACAACTTAATGTGATATTTTTAGATTTTTTTTAATAAGAGAAAAGGGCTATCTAAAATCGGGATTGGTAAAGAGAGTAAAGAGACTTGAATGAACCCAATCACGGACAAATATATATGTTCATAATTATATGTAGCCTATGTGACATATAGATGAGACATATTGAATTTTTCACTGAAAATATATTTCATGGATGGGCCATTCTCTGGGAAATCCAACAGGGATGAAATTTTGAAATTTCGATTTTAAGTAATAGTAGGAATGAGAGAGCATTCAGGAATTTTTTCCAATTTCTTACTCTAAATTTTCGGATCCACACTAATTGCTGCACTTCGTTCTTTCTAGTGCGAAATTTGAAATATGGGAATTACATATTTTCATACAAAAAATAATGTATCGAGGTTCCAGAATGGAAGAAAATACTATGAAAATACTGAAACTGAAATAAAATATAGAAGGAATTGGTTTCATGGGATGAAAAAAATATCAAAATTGATAAAAAAAAATGATGAAACTTTTTGAGAGAATTTTTGCAAAAAGAAGAAAGTGTCCGCCAGACCAAAATCATGTAATATCTGCTTAAAAATTGAAAATCATAACTTTAGAAATGATCGATATTTTTGTGGTATTTTTTAAATAAAAATATAATTAAAAATTGAAATTTCAAGAGGAAGAAAAATTTTTTGGTCAATATTTTGGGGAAGTTATGAATTAAAAAAAATGAAGAAAATTCAAATTTTGAGAACGGTTAGAGGAAGAAATTTGCAAAATTTGATGAATGCTCCGCATATATTCAACGTATATCTACTGATATATTGTATTTTTGTACGAAATATACACGAAAAAAAATAACTTGAATCAATTATATTGTATAATTCATTAAAGTATTTATTATTTCCCGTGTAACCATGAATAAATAAATAAATAAATAAATAAATAAATAAATAAATGAATAAATAAATAAATAAATAAGTATAAATGTGCGTATAATAAATATATCTTTTGTATATAGTATAGTACTTTCCATGTGGGAGATGAAAAATTATCTGGAGGCTGTATTTTCTGGACGCACTCGGGCCGTAATTTTCGGGAGGGTAGGCAATTTATATCTCCGCAATGATTCAGGCTCTTGTACTTTTACCTTTAAACATAGAGTTAGTTGAACTATGGATCGAACAAAAGGCGAACGATAAACCGTACGTTGTGTCACAGTTCGAGAAGTTACTTGGCCGAGGTGGGTGGGCCACGTGGCGAACACCCGATGGTCATACTTTTTACGCACGTTAACTCGCCATTTAAAAACCATTCCAATTGAAAATTTTACCAACCTCCTCGAAGAATTATCATTCGTTCCCCTTTTATTTTTTGTTTAACAACTCTACCCTCTTTACACAAAACACCTGCACTCGTTTAATGTTCTACATCAGACCTCGGCGTACATCATACCGTTTCTTTGGGTCCTAACCCACAAATTTCACTCAGCATAACCCTAAACTGCACCGTAATCATTTTGCGAATTGATGATATCTCAATTTTCTTTCTATTTCCTTCAATTTTTTATCTCTTTCAAGTCATTACGCCATTTAGTTTTCAATATTCTACCTATTTTAACCTATACATTTGACACTCCTCATAACCTCAAAATTTTGATAATTCATTTTTTGCAGTTGAACAAAATAATGAGAAATAAATGGGAAACATAAGAACAAGTGGGAAAATATCTCAACCCTCGTACTATTTTCCTGAACTTTCATCAATTTTCCATTCTTTTCCCCATGATTTCACTATTTGGTTTTCAACTTTTTTCACTCTTTGAATTCTAACCTACAAATTTGAAATTCTCCAAAACCACAAGTGATTTTTAACGGCTAAATAAAACAATGAAAAAAAAAAGAAAAATATTCAAAAAAGCGAGAGAATGTCTCAACATTGACATTATTTTCTTTAACTTTGATGAATTTTTTATCTCTTCCCTATGATTTCACGATTTGGCTTTCTATATATCGAGCTATA